ACGGTACGTTGACTATCAAGAGAGTAGAGACTGATACAATGTATATATGAAGTTCATATATTTTGAACTGCGGTATTAGATACGTATGAAGCATGATCCTCGCAGTAGAGAGCGCTATTTATGCAATAGCGAAGATCGGACCTGAAAAAAATCAGGCCTGTACGGGATTCGAGCCACTGACCTCTGCGATACTAGTGAAAAAAACTACCAATTGAGCTAACACGATTGAGCTAACACGAACTTTGCCATGAAAAAAAACTGTAAGGGGGTTACTTATGGGGTTACAGAAACATAGAGGGGAAGGTAGGGGGCTTGATCTTGGTGAGGAAGGAGGAAACTACCTTCTAGCAGAGATTTTAGTTTTCTGTAGAACATTACTTAATGAATAATGTAGCAGGTTCTAGAAATGTCATAATTCACATCCTCTTGAAATAACTATCGTATAATTTTTGGAATATTCAGAAAAAAACATAATTTTTTAAACGGTCCCTCCTCAATTGCTCACTTCCTCGTCGCCCAGTTTTTCTAATGAACGCTTAAAAATTTTCAGTTTCAGCTCTGATCAGCATAACATAAGCTCAACGAATAGCAAATGTTCATCGCTGGGACCTGCATATTACAGTGAGGAGAAGAAAAATGAGAATTTCCCTGTGCAAAGACAACAACACGGCTTAGGAGGAAATAGTTCGCTTGCAAATTAAATCGAAAGCTTACCTCGTCATGTCGCAGTACAAGGAAGGCACCACCACCAGCAGACTTTAAAATGATAGCAATAAATTTAGGATTAACTGCACAGTATGCCGAGTCTACGGAATTTCCTGAAACTTGGAATCCTTCGTAGCACTTATCTTTTTTCGCTGCTGTGCCGAACACATGTCGAAATTTTGATGATCTCACGAACTTCGCCATATTCGTTGGTACCAAATACCCTAAAGAACTAAAAAAAATCTCTGGTCCTTTCGCTGATTCCTTAAGACAACAAAAATTCAGGACACTGATCAAAGAGCAGCTAACAGTCACGATCCGGCAAGGAAGAAGTGGCAGGTTATGGGGAGGGGCGCATTGGAGGCCTGGTTATAGTCACATGATCAAAGCTCCTAATTTCAATGTCTCGTTTGAATCCTCTACATTTGGCTCCTTCCTTAACTCCTTGGCGCGCTATCTTGAAATTTGCCATGAGTATCGACGTGTTTAAGGTAAGATTTTTTCCCTTTGAAGTATTTTTAAGAATTCATCTGTATTGTCTCTTATTCTTCGACGATCAAGGATTAAGCGCGATTCAAGTTTGTTAAACAGGAGGTGCTCTGAAATGTGGCTCAGTGCAGAATTGTCAATTAACATGTGCATATGCATGCTGCAGAAGTTTCAACGGAAATATGAGCTTTTTATATATTGTCGTCGCCTATCGTATCTTGTTTGCTTGCGACTGAAAATGTTAGTTATTCTTTAGAAAAATTAAAGATATTTTCTGCCATAGAATTTTAATCCTTTAAAACCCGGGTTTGTCAGGTTTCCAGAGGTCAATCTGTAACATTTCACTTTAAATAGAGTAAAACAAGGGAAGCTTTGCAGAAGCCTCTATGTCAAAGATGTGAGGAGATTGAAAAGTTAATCGAGGCCTCTTCTACCCAGGTACCGAGAAGTTCATTCCATGTTAGTTTGATTTAATAGTGAATACCGGATCAAAGTTCATTAGTTAATTATACAGAGTTTACCATGCACATGATCCCATGCCAATCCTATCCTTGATTAAAATTACAATTTCTTTTCTGTCAAACTCATTATCAAAAAAAAAATGGGTTATAAGAAGGGAATCCTGTTTTCTGATTGGCTACCTGGGTTGACAAGGTGGGCTCATCTTACCAGCTTTGACCTGCACAAGAAAAATAAAATTTTGAACGATTTCATCAATTGAGTTGCAAAAATTAGCAGAAGTTAGTTGTAACAAAGAAAACATAAAGAACTCAAACTGGATACAGTCGGCTTTCTTTTCCAGCTCTCGAAATAAACAAGTCATTGTTGATTCTCATTTAATTGAAATCTTTTATTGACCAAGCCCAATGGATGGCTGGACGTTAGCCTCCTTCTTTTCCTTCTTGACCCTTTTTTGGCAGGAAAAAAAATGCAATAAAAACTCAGCCAATATCCAGTATCTTGACATCAGGCTTGGTCAATGACATATAACCTATCCCCAAAGAGAAAAGAAAATAAAAAAAAACCATTCTCTACATAGTCCTCATATTCAATTGACTTTTGTTTTTCCTAGCTTGGACTCTGGTGTCAGTTTGTCTGCTTCATTATGTATTCAGTTCTTTATGAAAAAAGAATTTTATTTTGCACCAACACCTATTACTAAAAGAAATTGCAATTAAAAAAAAGTAAAAACAACAACAACAACAAAAGAATAACTATAAGAAAAAGCTAAAAAAAACCAAGCATAAGAGGACTGAAAGGCTATATAGGGGACAGTTATGATAATCATTTTTGTCTTTTGTTCCAGAATCTCCATGGATTCTTTCCACAACTTCTCAGTAGTATTTTTGGCTATGCAGGCTCAGGTGATTGGGGTCTTAAAACCCTCAAACGAAACAGCAAAGATTTTGCCACAGTACATCAATTTTTGTCACCTGGTGGTGCAGTTTTTAAATTGATTGACATGTTGCAGGCCGATGAACTGAAACGTTATGAATTCTTTATCAGCTGCCTTCCTGTAAGTATCAACACCTTTGCTTGTTCATTTGAAAAAAAGTTTTCTTGTATAGCTATAAAATGTTGCTTATGTTGTTTTTATTCATGTTCATTACTATTAAAACAAATATGGATTGTAATAAGGTACACAACAGAATAAATATCAGACTAACTTTACTGTAGGGGCACAGTAGCCTTATGTTTAGTGGGTTAAAAAAATGATCGAGTGATGCGTGTGATATTTGGATATACGGCAATAAAAACCTTCAATGTTCTTTGATTTCAATACTTTAATCCACACACTATCCACATGGAATCCAACGAGTACCACAACAACAACTTTCCCCAGGCATCATGGGATGCCTACAAACACAACCTTTTCACACTTCTGGTACAATACACTACAGTGTGGGTTCGAGCCCTGGCCAGGGACATTGTGTTTTTTTCTTGGACTAGACAATTTGCTCTCAGTGCCTCTCTCCACCCTGGTGTTTAAATGGGTACTGGCAAATTTAATGCTAAGGGGTAACCATTGCGATGGACTAGCATCCCATCCATGGGGGGAGTAGAAATACTTCTAGTTAAAAAAAGCTATGGAAACCATAGATAAGTGCTGGCCTGATGGGCCACTTAGCTAAAAAAAAGACTTTACTTATCTTCACAGACTTTACTTATCTTCACAGCAGGGAAAAAAAAGAATTTTTTGCTGTGACTTTTTTGTAATTTATATCTTTATTCAAGGAAAAAAAGGGGCTGTGCTCTAGCAGAGCGTAGGTGCCACAGGGGCATTGACACACTGTACACCTTTGCTTTTATGGAAGTTTTTGAGAGCATTGTACCCTAGTTTTTTTAGATAAGAGTCATCAGGTACCTGGTGATTCTTCTCACAGCATAACCTCACATAGAAATTTCTCTTTTGAAACTTAGAAAAGATAATGTCTTCATACCTTTGTCATCTGCGTTAATATACTGTCCTTTTCCTGCCTCTTGCAGTAAAAATGTACTCTTTAGAAGTTTTAACAGGATGATACAAGTTTCTTTCTTTATTCCAGTTATTTAAACTTGTTATATAATTTCAATACAGATTTCAACACAGAAATCACTTTCAGAAGGTATGATTCCAGTTTTGTACCGAGACAAAGTACCGGTCAGAACTCCTGGTGGAAAAAAAAACACTGTATTGCTTAATATCCTTCATAAAATTAACACTTTTAAAAGTAAAAAAAGCTGGTACTACCAGAGGGCAGAGGGAATTGCTTAACAAGCAACATTAAAAAAAACCTGTCTCCAAGGAGTTCCCAGGTACATGCCATTTTATAAACTCAGCTTACAAGGAAGTCAACTTTTTCAAATTTCATATTCTTGGTTAATCTCCATAAATTAGATCTGAAAATGATGTGGAATAAGTGGTGAAATCTCAAATATTGGTTCCTAATTCAGTATTTCCATTTCTGGTGGGAAACCTTTGGATCTTAGATGGGAAAGAATATATCAGGAAATTCATATGTCTGCAAAAATGAAATCAGAAATCACTCAAGGAAATAATTTGCATGAGCATCACAAGATTGATCAGACTTCTAAACCTTGAACTCCCATGAGTGACCAAGACAGAATTTCTCCTTACAATATCAATACAATATCAAGCAGACGAGTGATGAGAACAAAAAAAAAATTAATTATGAGATTATTAGTTGATCCAATATTAATTTCTCACAACTAACCTCATAAGAAGTATATGACACACAGTCAGGAAAATTACAAATGAGATCTTAAGAGTAACAGTATTGAGGTAGTGTGACCAATGTGTATACATCTTAACCAGATAGAACATTGTGAATTTTCATTTATTAATAATTTACAAATCAAAGTAGTAAATATTTGCTTAACTTTTTAAAGATACCTTTGAATACTACATGTTTCATTTTGCTTACTACATTCTACATCAGCAAGTCAATAGGGTGAGTAAGGAATGTTGACTGATTGTATGTTACAAACTGATAACAGATAAATTATGAAAAAAAGTAATTACAATATTGTGTCTATTTGCATTGCTTTTGAGCTTGTGAAAAAAAAACAACAAGCTCCTCTTCCAATTCCTTTCTCATAGTCAGTATATATATTTATATCTATACTTTTAGTTTGTGGCCAGAAAATAATTTCAGAAATTTCTGTCAAAAAAACAGTAACAGTCTTTTTTGTTGTCAAATAAATTTAGCTTGGAGTAATGTATAGAGTGTTCCTAACAGTGCTTGTGTTCATAACTGGTGACTGTAGGAGTCTAGCTCGATGGCAACCCAGGACTTTCTTTACCTGATCGTATTGGATGACTACCTGAACTTTTTTTTACCATCCGATGAAGCTGCTGTCTCTCGCAGTACTTTAAAGACCAAGTCACCGACTAGTTCAGTGAGGAAATCTGCCAACTGGTGAGAATATTAGATGAGACTCTTTCTTGCTTGACAACTGCCTTCTGCAATATGCAACCCACCCTAAAATGGTACCCGGTAGATGAATTTCACACTTAACTAGCATAAAGTGGAGCACACTAAACCAAATGTGTTGTACACTATAAACACAAAGACAAGATAGGGTTCTCTCTCTCTACATGTGTAGAACATTGTATCAAATTAACAGTCAAACTAGATGTTCTGCCTTACCAATTGATAACAATTTGTGACTTATAAATTTTACTCCACAAATTTATAACACCACAAAAACACGGCTTCTCCCTTCTCACTAACTTCCACATTTCACAAAAAAAAATTGTTAGAATCGGAAGCAACTTAAAGTTCACTGCACTGCAGTATCTAAAAAAATTTTTTATTTTTTATTTTTCAACATTTGAATTAACACTTTTATGTTAAAAAAATTTTATGTTTTGTGTCTTTTATTTGTCATTCTTACCTATGGCCTTTAAAAAAATTTTCACACAGGCATGAACCCAGTATGTACACAAGGACCCAGTATTAAAAAAATCAGTTCCGTGGTATGATTAAACCTTCTACTGGTAGAGTTAGTCCGCCCACTGCTCATCATGGAATGTTTGATCACAGCTCACAAGAGATATGGAGATCAAAAAAATTTCTACAGGTGAATCATGCCTCTATTGGTTTGCCAGAAGTCCATGAAAAAAATCAAACTGAATCTGCCTGATACATGTTATCAGAAATAGTGTGGTTAAAAAAAATGAATTTGCAACCCTTTTTATGAAGTCTCAGTAAGACCAGTTGAAAAAAAAAATACAAAATGAGCTGATTAATAAAAAGTACATGTACAGACAACAAACGCAGTAACATTAAAGAAAAGGGTAATAGAGTTTTAATCTCTGATTTGTAGATACTTATAGAATTCTGGCTGAATCAGAATACAGTGGATTCCATTTCAAGAAATGTTCTCTCCCATAGCCAGGTGCAGTGATTTACTCTGAATCTATACAATGTACATCTGTATATAGATTATTAGTATAATTTCAGAGCTGAGCAAAGAGTTTCCAGCAATAAAAAAAGTTGAGCAGTTCCTTATATGACGCTATTTTAACTGCTGCACGGGGTAAAAAAAAAATGTTAAAATAAAATGTTAATAAATGTTACTAAAATGTTATGATAAAAAAAATTTCTCTATTGTTCAGCTCTGAAATTATACTAAAACAATTATTCGAAAAAAATTCGGTGAATATTGTCGAATAATCCCCTCAACTTCATCTCAAGGATAAAAAAACGACATTCACCTTGCCTTTGGCAAATGATTGTTAAATATAAATGTCAAAAAAATGGATGGCTTAGGTTCTTATGAAATACAGATGATTTTGATTTCATAAAAAAAACAGGAAGTGTCTCTCAAAAAGTATAATGAATAAAAACCAGCTTTACCATTTACATCTAAACATCAATATGTCTATTCTTTATACAGCACTGTTCTCTATACATTTCCTTTGGTACAAACATGAAGAATTTCTTCAACAATCAAGAGCTTCTTTAGTTCTTTAGGCCGTTATTTTGGTGACCTTAATGTTTGACTTGGCTGTGAGAAGAAATGAGATGTTTGTCACTCTTTTAGGCTAAAGGGTTAGGAAATTCTCCTGAAAAAAAGTAGAGCCAGCTTTAAAATTTATAGTGATTGCTTTATTGTAGAGCCCAATCAGTAACACTCTAACAATAGGTCTTGTTAATTTGCAGGAGTATTTCATGCCAACATTAGACCATGTGCGAGTGGTAAGGATTTTAGTGAAGCACATTCATACATTTGTGTATGCCAAGGTGTCTGATGTTGCTCAGCTCTCTGTATTACACCCATATGATGAACTGAGGAGGTATGATTTTTTTATTTGTATTTTTTTGTGAATGCAAACTCAGTTAACCATGCGATGGCAGGCTTTTTAGCTGACTACAAGAGCTTGTCAAGGTCATGGCTCTAACTCCCAAGATCTGATTGTTAATTCTCCCCTCTAGCTGCTGTATATTTCCTTCTAAATAAGTTCTGAGAATTGCCAGTAAATGCTAGATTAAAAAAAAAACTTCTACCAGATAAGTGTGAATATTCTCATTACCTGTTTGCTGGAAAAAAAATGGATATTATAGGGAGAAGTTACATGTTTATCACTTGTGGTATTTAAAAAAAAATGAGGCATTTAATGTCAAAGAATTGTCTGTCTGTGGCCCAGAATTAAAAAAATACATTTTGGTTGCCTGAGCTGTTTTTTAATCAGATGTGGGTATTATGTGACTATACTTTTGCAACTTTTTCCTGTGACCACATTCCTTAATGAAAACCCTGTATCATAGATACCATCCTTGTACTCATTTTCTCTGTAGTTTACTAGTCTGAAAAAAAAAATCTCACAGGATCCTTGTAATATTTCTGATCCTTTTGCTGGGCATTTTAAATTTTGTGAGACCTCACAGTCTTTTACTTCAGGACTTAATTGCTCCCAAGTCTCTGTCACTTGTGTAGATGTCTGAGCATATAGTCAGTGTATGGAGAGTTTTGACAACAAAAGTAAAGATTTTCCCTTAACACTTGCGTATTATTCAGTCTTTTTTTATCTTTTTGTACACTTCAAAGTGGCTAAAATTAATCTTATAGATACAGAACTATTAATTTTAGAAATTTTGCATCGTAAACGTGGTTGATTTTTCTCCTTAGAAAAATATTTGGGTAAGGAACTTCCCTCCCTCCCCTCCCCTCCCTCTAATGAATGGTTCATCATAAGGTTAATATTAGTTATTGTTAGCAATGCCTTTCTATAACTTTGTATCAGGGGAGGGGAGAGAAAGAATATTATAAAGATATTTTAAGCTGTAACTTTTTAGCAATTTTCTTGGCTTTGACTTCACTTCATTTTTTTTTTTCTTTGTTGCTGTCAGCATCATCATTCCTCAATTTCTTCAAAAGAAGCTGTATTTTTTCCTTTGTCACTGCTTTTCTCACTGGCCTCTGGATCCCTCTTTTAAATATGTGAGTGTCTGTACTATTTAAACCCTTTACATCCAAAGATCATTTTCTCTTGGAAAAATTAGTTTTTACAAGCTACTCTTAAATTTGAGAAAAAATAAAGTTTATGTATGTATGTATGTAGTGTTCATATTCTTCATACTGCTCTCTATATGTTTCCTATGCTACTGCATGACCTTAAGAATTTTTTCAACAATTAAGAGCTTCTCAGCTGGTGGGTAAAAAAAAATTTTCTCTTATTTTCATGGCCTTAATTTGTGATTCAACAGTGATAAAAAAATGAGAAATAAGATGCCAATAACACTTATGGATTAAAGTGTTAATGAGTTCATTTTGTGTAGTACACAAGTATAGCATTGAGGAGGTAAAGACATATCGGCTGTTGACTGTATCATGCTTTGCAGGTGCTGGAAACATGGCTGAGTTACATTCAGCCTTGGAGGTATTCAAAGAACCAGCCTGGCTCAGTGGTATCTGGAGATGATGAGTCCAGAGAGGCTGGACCTGAATGGTGAGAGAAATAGATATTAGATTGACGTCTTTGAAATTGCTTTGCAACTCATGTATACTCTGAGTATGATTTGTTTGCTTCTTTTGACATTGCTGGACAGGGTAGACAATTGATATCCAAGGATGTATACTTATTCACTCCCAAGATCTAAATTTGAATTGTCTGCTCTGTCTGCCAAACACTTTTTCTTAATTTTATCCCTTAGAATTTTGGTGTTACATCCAACAGTTTTCACATTTTGATCTCTTTCTTTCCTCTTTTCTCAGAAAGTTCTGTTCCTTTCTCCTGCCATAAAAAAAGCAAATGAATTAAAATCTTAATTCTAAAAATTCTAAATTCTCTCATCACCTTACTCCTTACATGTGTATTGAATATCATAATGAGAAATGACTTTATAGAAAAAAATTGCTTCCTTGGAGTGAGAAGATTAAGAAGGGAAGACTTTGCTCAGAGTTTCGAATTTTCCTGTACCTAGCTATTCAGTATGTCATGGTTTGATTTCATCCTGAGTTTCCTTTTTGTTTTTGGGTACAGAAATCTTTGTTTGACTTTAGAACAAACTGAGAGAAATCTTGTCCAAGTTCCTAATTAAAATGTCTTTGAGCAGCCTAAAAAAAGTAACATCTTGTAATCTCTGGAGGAGACTGTTTCTTGGGTTGTTTTAAAAAAATTTTCCAGTAGCCTGCTATCATGATCCAAAACTCCCAAACATATGAAAAAAAACGTATGTCAATTTTTTGTGTGTTTCAAACAGGAAATCTTTTGTTTTTGAGAACCTCCTGTTTTACTCTGCCTTGTTGTTTGAGTTTGTGTCTCGTGCCTGCCGTTTCAATCTGACTTCATCTAAGGATGTTCATCTGCTTTTTAGGGTCATGAAAAAAAGGAGTTAGTTCTCCAACCCTTTCATTCTTAAGATCTCATTAGCAGTAAAAAAAATTGTCTGCCATACAATTACTATAATGTGAGTTTGGAGACTTTGGTAAAAAAACAAGTAATAATCCCCTAATTTATATTTTTCCTTATTCTCGTGACTCATCTGCTGAGCACTGTATTGATAATGTAAGAAGAAATTATGTTTTGGTCACTCAAAAAAAATCAAGGATTAAAGTTTGTGTTGGGATGAATATGTCTCATAATGTATGCCATAGCTGGTACATGACTTCCTGTTTTGGTATTTTGTGTAACTCTTAGCTTAATGATTGTGTTAGCCTGCAACTTATTTTCAGTAAGGTGAAACAAATTTTGAGATCAAATTTGAGGCTTTTCATTAAATGAAAATAAGAATTGAATTTAAGATTGAATATCACTATTCACAGGTGTTTGCCCAAACTCATTTGGTGGATATGATTGAGGAAGGTCTGTATTATAATGTTTTACTACATTTGTCCATGTTAGTCTTATTAACCCATTATGCCTTAAACTCATCACCAATAGATGAGCTAGGGGAAGGTGCCTTGGAAAAAAAGGAGCCATGCGTGATGCCAGCCAGGCTTGCAGGTATCCATGGCAACAAAAAAAGCAGCAACCACCCGGCATCATCACACTGATAAATCAGTGGAAATACAAAAAAACAGACATACTTACCACTGTTGCATGATGAAGCCCAAAAAATGGGGTAAAAAAAGTGGGAGCAAAAAGGCACTCGAGTATGGTGAACAAACACGAACAAGAACGTAGCTGGAACGTAATACGAATGCCCCTGCAACAAACCCAGTAAATGCAAAAAAAAAACATGTGGCTTCCCACAGACCGCCGCTGACTGCATTGGCTCAAGTTAAAAAAAACCTAAATTACATTCATCCACATCTAACATTGGAATGTTTATTCTCCATACTGGTCTTGATACATTTCCAATGGCACTGACAAGGAAGTTTTAGCTAAAAATTAAGAGCTTTTCAAGTTTGTGATCATTTCTTCAATTCTCATGAGCCTAATGCTTGATTCAGCAGTGTTATCTTAGTGAGAAATTAGATGCTGGTTAAAAGGTTAAAAAAAGTTACCCCGGTACTTCACCTCTGGTAGTTGTGAGCATCTAATGTTGTGATGAAATCTCTTTATAATTACCATACCTGCCTCCTTCACCTTTTGGCCTTTAAAAAAATTTTGCTCCTTACAGACTGATATTTATTGATGACCAAAGAAATTAGTTCTTATCACCAAAGGCACCAGCAGTGAGCTTGAACAACAACTTTAAAAAGTCAAAAAAAGATATTTCATTTTCTCTTCAACTTTATCTTCCCAGGAGAGAAGTCATTTTTAAATCCGTCAGGGAATCACCGCACTTCATCTCAAGTTAATTCAAATACATTAAGCTCAGCCATTAAGGCTCACATTTTTGAGCTGGAAGGATCTCCAAGTTAAAAAAAAACAGTGTTCCACTTTCCAGGAGCAAGAAAGGTAGGAATTATTGTTAAGATCAAAATCTATATGATGTCACCTAACTTTGAAATCAGTAGGAGATTATGATGATGAGGAGGAGGAAAATTTTCAAGTATGCAAATTTGCTGTGAACTTTAAAGGAACAATGGTTGACCTTTTTGGAAAAATTTACACATCTAACACTGATATTGTAAAAAAAATAGCCTTTGCTGAAATGACAACCGTTACTAAGAAAAGTTTGCAAATAAAGAACAACTGGAATTCTTTCTACAACCTGCAAAACTTTCACCGAATCATTTTAAAAAGAAAAGCTAAGAAAAGTTTTTATAATGCGGTTGTTTGTTCATCTTTCTATGAATTATCAGATGCGTGAACTTTGCACAAGAGTGTTAGCAGCCCTTCATGAAGCACAGGCTAAAAATCAGACTGCTCAGGAATCTGAAGGCAACAGAGGAGGAATCTCAGGTTTCTTAAGAAATTTTTTCAACCATGGTGATTCACAAGGGAATGAGTCTGAAAGGAAAGATGAAGACAGTAAAGTTTTGTCTTATTTGAAACAGACCAAAAAAATTCTGCCAAAAATTGTCAGGGTTAGTCTGCTGATAATACTTAATAAAAAAAAATAAAGAGAATTTTAAAAAAACTTGAATATTCCTTGTAAGATTACTGAAAAAAATTCTTTTGCAGTGAATGTTATAGAATTTTCTATAGTAACGTGAAAAAAAAAAAATATTTTTCAAAAAGGGAGAATGCATGCATGCCTGCAACAATTTTCAAAAAAATCAAATGTTTAATGCTTCTTGCTTTGAAATCTGGTATTTCTCCAGTGTTTGAGTCTCTGACTTGTTAATTATGTTTCACTTAAAGGATTAAGTTTTCTGAAAAAAAGTTGTTGTTGTTTTTTTTTTTTTTTGTTGGTTTTGTAGGCTTTTTGAAAAAAATCAGGACATGATTTTGCACTTATGCAATTATTACATTTTTAAGTACTGTTAACTCTGAAAATATTTTTAAGGTTAATCCTGTTTTGAAAACAACTATGAAAAAAAAAACAACAACAACAACAACCAGATATTTACCTGTAAAACCTCTAAATAGCTTTCTACGTGTATTGCAAGTTGTTATGATATTTCTTCTTTTAGGATGCAGAATCCATAGATGGCAGCGCATTAAACAGTTCAATACAGTGGGAAATCCCTTCATCAATAAACAGAGGCAGACACACATCTGCTCCTGGTTCTCAGTCCTCTCTCCCAGACCATCTTGAGACAGAAAGAGGTCCAGTGTTAACTCCTTTGGGAAGATATCAAAAAAATGGAAATTAATGTTGGATGTTTATAAATTTCTTTTTTCTCCTTGACAAAAAAATATTATCACAAGCAGGGTGATTATCTGTAATGTAATGGCAATCCCATTCTGGGTGAGGAGTAATGCTTTAAATGTTTTTCGCTACAGATACCAAGAAAAAAAAAAACTGTGGCAGCCTCTTGGCTCCATTACTGACACAACTTTACTTTCCTAAAAAAAGAATGGTCTTCGCAAGTTTCCAGTGAGATATAGTGGCGATCCAGAGCTTACCCCAATTTGCAGTTTTGAAAATTCTGCATTGGTTCGTCTTATGTACAAGCTCTCCACTCATCTAAATGAAAAGGTTGCAGATGTCTTTGTAAACTTTTATATCTCAGTTGTTCTACTTATCTGCTATGTCTTTCCTTTCCAAACCAAGGCCAGTAAAAAAATCAAGGCTTGCACTGGCCAAGTTGTGTGGTTAAACCCATTTTTGCTAAAAAAAAATAAGTTTTCTTTCAATAAATTCTACTCCCCTTATAAAGCCAGTGTGTTTACTGCACTTAACTGGGAATTATATTCCTTACATGCATAAACAACACTCTTGCAGATGATACCTGGATGAAATGGTTTGGCTCAGTCTTAAACTGTTATTTCAAAAAAATACCTTGGAAAGTACACAGTAAATGTAATCAAGATGAGGAATAATTAAAAAAATGTTTTCACTGGAGTTGTTACCACAACTGCAAATCAGTGAGACACCAGGTAAACTGCTACCTACTGATACCTTTTTCTCTCCCATTTAGTTTGGCAAATCCTTGGACAAGTTGTACATAAATTCAAGACTTTTTAGGCAAGCTGCTTGCTTTTTCTCACCAGCTTTAAAGTCTTTGTCCTCCTCTACTCCTTCAAGACAGTCGTCAACCTCCCCATCTCGATCCCCACAGGAACCAATACAGTTGCAGATTAGCCTTAGAGTTTTTGCTTCATACCGCACTTTATTATATCTGTTTTTACTGTGGCTTTTTTTTCACTTAACATCTATGAATGTTTTTTTAGTAATTTTGTTATGGATTTTGGTTTTGATCACAATAGTATTGAACCATTTAACACCTTGTCACAAGAAAAGCTTGGAAAAAAATAGATAGTAGCAAAGACAGATTGTTAGTATTATAATCATTTTATAAAGCTGTGGGAATGCACATACCCATTGCTGGCATATCAGGGGAGTTAAGGGACACTCATTCTTACTATTTTTCTTGATCTAAAAATTTCCATGACTTAGATTAACATAAAAAAACCTGAGGTATTTTTCTGTTGTTATTGGAAAGACCTGCTAAGCCTTAAAAAAAACAGAAATTATCGGAAGCATTTTAAGCTCTTAATTCGTAGAAGGTCAAAAAAAAATAAAGAAGCGACAAGACCCATTGCAACTATGTCTGTCATGTCATTCTTATTATCAATATTGTTATTCCTCTCTTGAATTATTTCTGAGTACATTTCATAAGAACTGGAACTTACCAGTAGGTAAAAAAAAGGGGGGGTTCAAAAGACAATGAAAAAAAGGTCATAGAGACCAGGCCCCGGTTGTTCAAAGGATGGACAACGCTAAAAAAAAGATAAATTTCTATCTGGGCCCAGTTGTTCAAAGAGCGGATAACACTATCCAATGGATAAATCGCTATCCAGCGGTTAAGCGTTAACAAAACGTACTGCGAAAAAAACTGGATAGAGATTTTATCCAGTGAATAGCATTATCCATCCTTCGAAAAAAAAAAGCCTGGTGGATAGCGCAGTGCATTTTGGTAACACTTATCCGCTGGAAAAAAATTTATCCGTTGGATAGCGTTATCCGCCCTTTGAACAACCGGAGCCAAAAAAAATAGTTCTTTTAGTTTGGAGGTCGTTGACACAATAAACAATGATTTTCCATGAACTTCTCACAAACCTTTTCAGTTTGTATGAAAAATGACAATCCATTTTCCAGAGAGATAACTATGCAGCTGGTATAATTTCCCTGTAACATGCAATATCAGTGATGGTGTTATAGGTATTCAAGGTTGGATAGTGGAGGGGGGAGTGGGGCATAAAAAAAGCCCAAGTCATTACTTGTTTAAATTTATACTTTTTTGTGGTGGGTTGGGGGGGGGATACCGAATGTAATAAAGTTAAACATTTCTGGACGTGAACTTCGAAAAAAACCTGTGAAATTAAAATTTCCCCAGTTGTGACCTGAAAATTTGGTGAAAAAAAATGTAAATAAATCATATTTCCTAATTTACTTTTAATCGATAGCATAAAAAAAAATAAAATATGAAACAGAAACGAGAGCACTAACACTACAGTTGAACTTCTTGACATAATGAAACTACACCGAGCTTAAAAGTCAATATCATAGTTCTAAGGTGAAAGTCTTGCATGAAGCCTTTCACTTCCAGGATTGACAAAAGACGAGATTCAAAAAAAAATACCACTACATTTTTAAATAAGGAAATGATGAGAAGGTAGTAAAAAAAAAATGAGAGAAATTCTTTCTTACATCTCGCGATGAAAGTCTAAGAGAAAAAAAAAAAGAGTAAAGATAAAGACCTTTGGAAGAAGTAATCGTTTAGACTTCAAAAAAAACATCATTTTGGAACTTAAAATATCATTTTTGTTCATTAACAACACTAAATTTTTACACTGAAAATGTATGTAACGGTGTATGTTTTTTCTTGTTTCGCGGTTAGAAACTACGTTGTACAACTTAATATCCACGAGGCGGCGAGCGATAGAGAGCAGTGGACGAACACGTGTAAATGGGTTTATCAAAACAAATTTTTCTTCCTTCAAAAAAAAATTTTGGGTCTGAAACAAGTGAAAGCGAGAAAATTTAAAATGCGGAAAAAAAAAAGAAAACTACGACGTAGTCGGCAGGATTCGAACCTGCGCGGGGAAAAAAAAATGGATTTCTAGTCCATCGCCTTAACCACTCGGCCACGACTACTTGAAAAAAAAGTTTTGGATAAAAGTTGCTATTTAAACAATTTTTAATTCAATCAAAAAAAAAAACAGAGAATTGAGGAGGTTTTTCCAAATCAGTTTTGCGAATCACTAAAAAAAAAAACCTACTTTGAAGTTTTTTATCAATATTGAAGACCATTTCTGCACTCTTTCATTCGACCATGGCCTGGGCACGAGGCCTAAGTTACACGTGTCTGCTCACGCGTGTCGATCACCTAGCCATGTGATTAGATGGCAGATGCTTAACATCAAATCTTAAAGGTTACTTCGGAAAAGTGGTTGTCCTTGCAAATCAATTTCCACAAAAAAAAGATTTTAACAAGACAAAACTTTTCTTAGTTGTTTCTAGTTTCCAGGAAAAAAACTGTAGCCATGCCTTGTGCCAGAGCTCACTGCCACGTGTTGAAACGAAAAGTCTGATGGCCGCAAAGAGACTCGGTAATTTTAATCGAATGACTGAGCTATTAAAAGCGCCCTTCTCGCCAGTCTAGATATTTTACTGGTTTTTAATCATAGATAATGAACAGTCACGTGACAGTTTAAATTATTCATAACACAGCTTTGAACCCGAAGAAACAGCAAGTCTATTAAATTTTTATTAAAAAAAATTCCAGAACTATCCTAAAAAACTAACCTGGCTTTATCCAGTGTTGTTATTTAATAGTAAAACCTAAGTACAACGGAAAGTATTGATGAAAAAGATAAAAAATTAACCTTACAGATTCATCCTCGACATTAACCCTCCCCCCTTCTCTCTTTCCTTCGTCATCATTTTAAACGCCTCATTAGGTTTCTACTCGGAGTCGCTGAATAACTTTATGTCGCCCATTCTCAGACATATTTCATTTTCCATCCCCGAGGTTTTCAGGCCACACGTTGTGAGAAAACATACCACGAAGTAATCGACGACACACTACTTCATGTCCTGACTCGACCATTAAAAAAAACAACTTTAAATCGGGGGGGTGGAGTGCGAGAAGGTTGTTCGCCTTTAAAAAAAGCAAAGATGCTGTCTGTATTTTGTCTGTCCATTCGCTCTGACGGGGAAAAAAATGCTCGAAACGTCAGCTTTTGAAACCCTTTACGGTGGCTAATTAACAAAAAAAACTCATCTACTTATCTGTTATATAATTACTCACGTTCTGTTACTCAGGGATTGAAGATGGCATAAGCATGCCGAAACATGTCTCTCAAAAAAGTTGTCCATTTCTTACAATAATTATCAACTCAATTGATAAAACCAAATTATCTTGATATAAAAAAAACCACCCCCCCCCGCACCGCCGACGCAGCACCGCAGTTTCTTTAGAAAAAAAAAGTCTTTAAAATTTTTATAGTAGCCCAATTCGCAGGCTGATACCCTATAGTAAATTAGCTTTCCTTTTCGGCTCTTCATGAGTACATGGTTATGCAAAAAGAGAAGTTGCATTCATAGAATATGTCTTGCTCTTTTACGTGCTATTCAGATGGAAAAAAACGTCGTTACGGTCTAATGTGTTCTCGAAAGAGTGTTTCTTCTGCGTAAAAAAACTGATATAAAAGTCGTGTCGAAATGAAACATCTTTGCTCTTGCGTCAAAAAAAATGACCCTTCCGCGTTACTATTCAGGTTTATATCTTGCTCATTGCTAAAAAAACATCTTCCAAGTGGCTGTTATGACAAGGGAAATGTAAGGACGGTTTCATGTATTCGGAAGTCAATCAGTGATTCCCTCTACTTCATTCGTCGTATCACGAAGAGTTACGGTGAACTTCGAAGCTGGTTACACTACATCCTGAATTTTCGTCTGTACAAGTAGTGTTCTTCATGCAAATAAAAGCCCCTCTCTCGCTTTGAATGAAATTTTCCACTATGTTCTTCTTCCTTTGAAATCTTCGTCCATAATTTGTTGAATGTCTTCAATATTCTAAGCAGATAGGACAATGGCTGACATTTTAGGCGTCGTCTTCGGTTTAGTCGGGAGCTCTATCTATTTTTGCACTCTCCTATCTTGTGCTTTTTGTACAGATCGCTAATGAACTCAAAACGTTGAAGTCGGTTTACGAATCTGCTATCCGGATCCTAAAGAGGTAATTTAAAATAAAACGAACAGCTGCTTGGTTGCTTAAAAAAAATTTTACAAATACTTTTGAATATTTTATGCGCTTTTGAATATTTTAAAAAAAAGTCGCAATACAAATAATAAATGTTATTGTTATTGTTATTGTTATTAAAAAAAATATTATTGTTATTGTTACAAACGTTATTTGCGATTCTCGGTCACTAAAAAAAATCACGCGATTTCACAATCAAATTAAAATAAAAATAAACTATTGGCAGGACTTCCTTTGTTCTGTTGTAAGGTATGATATGGTTGAAAATGGGCGTTGACCGCCAATGACTTTGTAAAAGCAAAATTATTCTCGTACTAAAAATGTGAGAGCGAAAAAAAAACAGACTGACTCACGTTCAATTATTTAATAACATCAGATAGAACTGAAAGGCAGAGTGCATTTATTCTTCGTCCAAACGAACTTACCGTCAAATGAGCGAATGAAAGGGGTGACAAAGTGTGGTAGCGATGAACAATCCAAACGTTCGGTAAAACCACAAATTTATATCTGAAAGGAATCGAGAAAACACACATCTTTTCCAATGCGTTGAAAAAATTGTGGGAGAGTAGCATGTGTAGAATTAGGCGGGAGGGGGGACTAGGTGACAAGGCCCCCACGCCCCTCTCCACGAGTTTTAGTTACTTCCCTTAAAAAAATGGCGTTTTCGGATGTCAAATTTTTGTTGGCAAGGAATGAATTTTCCCTTCTTGTCCTCTCGTCACCACTATACATTGAAAACACAACTGTTAAATCTAACCTGTTAACAAGACAAGATTTTTTTCTCATACTTTATCTCAATGCACTCAAGACATATATCATCAAATTGAGGCTAATAAAAGAGAGGTCTAGCTAACTTGCCCTAACAGTGACAATTCCATCACGTGAGATATCTTGTTCATTCCGTAACCTTTGAACCTTTCGTCATAAAGGGGGAGTTTGGGAGTTAGTCTGCAACGCAAACATTCCAGTCAAAGTTAGAAAGATCACATAACTTCGTAACTGAATAAGTTGTTCCAGCCGAGTATAAGGTTTTCATATGACAACTCACATGTGCAGTTATTATTTATCGGCCAAAAAAAACCGATTTTCAGTAATCTTTTCATTGCAATAGAACTAGTGGCACTGGGTTTTTTAATACCTGTTTCAAGCGTTCAATTTTTCAAGGAGTGAAAGAGTGAGAAAAAAATGGGTCCAATTGCCCTGCCGCTACTTTAAGGGAGCTTTAGCAACGAAAAAAAAGACGGCAACGAGAACGGCAGAAAACAATAGGTTTAATGAGCAAAAAAAAAAAACCTGCACGTGCGTTTAACATTTTGGTACATTTCTTTGCCGTTCTCGAAAAAAAAACAACGTGAAATAACCAAACTTTAGGTTTTCTCGAGAACGTGAGCAAAAAAAGGTTAATTTTTCTTTCTTTCTCCTTACTTTAACGCCGTTCGTAGTGAAAAAAACCCTGAATAGTTCGCCAGCATTTTCCAAGTGAAACACATCGGAATAAAAAAAAAAGAGTTACAAAAACGAAAAGTTAGATTTCGACACGACGTTTTCGTAAAAAAAGCCGTCGTCGTTGCTAAAGCTCCCAACCGTTTACTACGAAGCCCAGAAAAAAATATCTAATATTTCTCATTGACTTTTTTCCGGCAAGACTCCTTTCGGAAAAAAATTTTTCAGAACTTTTTTTCGGCACTGCTTTTTCCGGCACGACTTTTTCCCGCCGGAAAAAGTTGAAGAGAAATATTAGACGGCACCAACTGAGCTCCGTGGTTTACTCCCGCGCTTCGTTTTACTAACTGAACATGTTAGGTGTTTATGAAACGCACCACAGTCACTTAAGAATGATAACTATCTCTTTTTTAAGAATCTTTGTATCAACGGGGAATAGAAACTAAGAGTCCTAATGAACATGTCGGGAGAGACTCTTAAAAAAAAATTTAAGACCCCCTGCCGGGTCACGGAAACTTTACAAAATTGTAAAAAAAAAAGAATGCAAGTGTCAACTGGATGTCCAATGCAATACGAGTTTGCATTTGTTTCGCTTCTCTTCACTCTGTGATTGGTCCAGAAAACTCGCGACGCCTTTTCCACCAATCATAGGAAAAACTTAAACTAACCACGCTTGGTCACCGGCGTTTAAAAAAAATTTAGGGAGCTTGTTTGTTTTGTTTTGTTTTTTTTTTTTGCATAGAAAAAAAATCACACACAAGCTAAAGCAGCGGTATAAGCCGCTTCACTGTAGGCGAAAAAAAATACGTAACAGTGATTACATATTTGAAAAAACTTAATCTCCAGCCAAAAAAAAATTTTGGTTTTGCAACACTTAATTGAAAAGCGCTCTTAATAACAATAAAAAAACTTAGAATTAAATAAGGCTCATATTTGTCCTGATAATTCTTCACTTAAAAAAACTCATTGCTGCCGTACCACCGGCTGTAGTTCGTAGAACTGTGCGATAATGGAGACTCGATTTTTCCTGAAACGAGTCAAGGATTTATACGGCGAGAAGTAAAAAAATTTCTACGAATTCACACTCTCTTGAGAATTTCAAAAGGATGATCATGAAAAAAAACCCAATGAACTGAAAATGAGAATTTTAGTATACATGAGGTCATTTTGGAAGTGGACAGATGTAGTTACAAATATGAAGGGTTTAAAACTAAATTTATTTTAAAGTTTGGAATTTAGTCCAACTGAAATGCAAATGCAATGAATAAAGTTATTCTTTAAACTGTCCTCACGAAAGTTATCTCAGCTCATCATCACGTGAAATGTTAGTGGCGGGAAATTTTTTTGTTTTAACCAATCAGTGCGCGCAATGTTACCCCAAAAAAAACCCGGCACTAATCTCTTAGATCAATTAATCAATTAGTTAATCAATAAAAAAATAATCAACTAGCATCTCTCTAAATGTGCAGGAGGACAGTGAACCGCAAAAAAAAAAAGGGGAAAAAAACCAAGGTGATGGAAATGAAAATAGAAGGTATTCTTAACACCTGTGTGGAATGCATAATGGCTGACAGTGGAATACTTTCGCGCAATAAGCCTACCAATCAGGATTTTTCTAAGCCTTGTTCCTCTAAAAATCAAATTTGGAATAAAGATACGAAGGATACTAAATGGCGCCAGTCTGTTTTTCCTTTTTAAAAAAAAGATAAGTTCTTCTTTTGTTTCTGGAAGATCCTTAGAGTTCTAAAGAAAAAAAAAAAAGAAAGTACAAAGGTTACAAACCGAAAAGAAAAGATCTTCAATAAAAAAACTGACAATCGCTTTATGTCAGACCATGTAATAATTCCCATGCAAACAAAAAAAAACTAACCACTCGTCTATAGCCATCAAATGCTGGGACGACAAAAGCAACCTTTTCATCTGTACCGTTTCTGGTTTTGTCGTGATCAAAAATGTTATTTCAAAAAAAACGAAAAGAAAACAAACAATTGTGTCATGAAAAAGAACAGAATCATAAAAAAATTTACATGAAAATCATTGTGAAAATTATCTAAACCTTTCTTACGCAAAAAAAAAAGGTTCAATAAAATTAGGGACAACTGTCCTACCTTGCCATGAATTCTAAATCTGGTGAAGGAGCAAAGTCCACATCAATGAGAAAGATATGCTGCGTTAAAAAAATTCTGGTCGACAGAGAAAAGAGATAGCAATATTCGTGACAGTTTTTAAAAAAATTTGGATATTTTAGACTGAATTGTTTATGCTCACTCACTCGATGGCAAAAAAACTGAGTCTGTTAATCGGGTATAGCGGGCCCACCTGTTTAACAAATTAAAAAAAAAAAAATCAGAGAATTTAAGGCGAAGGGTAAGCAAAGTTTGCTCCAGAATATTACTTAAAATTTAACCTTCTGAACAGTTAGCAGTTAAAAAAGGCCGAAAAAAAATCAGAAAATATAAGCCTTCATTCCGTATGGATCGAGTAGAAAACATAAATATACCATCAATCCAGTGAACTACGATCAGCGCATTTAAGTCGTTAATTGATAGGTGAAAAGTGACTCAAAGTTTTTACACCAATCACAGACCATTTTCCGTGATATCGATGCGATGTAAGAATTATAGGTCTGCAATGCGTAAAGTAATGAAAATCGCCACACGAACCTGAGAGCTTAATAAAGTGTGAAACGTCGAAGGAAAAAAACTTCTGTAAAAATGCATAAACGACTTACCTTGTTTCCGTATATTATTACAACGGAAAAAAAGGAAAACTTGCTGAATATGCGAATCGGTAATCGCATTTGAACCTCTCTCCTAAAAGGAAACTCATTTAAAGTAAAGTAAATGGCGATGAACATTGTTTTAAAAAAACAAAAACTATAGGAAAACTTATCAAAATTGTTGACGGATAAGGGCGACACAAAGAAAGAAAATCTTTCTTTCGTTTTACTGCTGTGCTGCCTATTAGAGCACAATAGTCAAGGTTAATGGTATGGTGAACTGTTTGCATTTAATATCTTAGCATAGAAACCAAACATGTATGAACTCGTGACCAAATGTCGCCGTAATGGTCAATTAACTTACTTTTTGATATTAAGGTCGTCCAGGTTTTCCAGGAGTACATAGATTGCTACCGAAATAGGACCTAAAAGAGGAATAAAAAGAGAAAGCTAGTCAGAAACAAAAAAATTGAGGGAGTGCGTCTCTGAAAACTGCCACAAGACCCTCAAATTTTAAAAAAATTGTCTTTGTCTCTATTTGCATCGTCATCGACTTGCATCTAGTTGCAAAAAAATCATCATTTCGCTTCGTGTTCATTTGAATAACTTGTGATTTCAGCGTTGACGAAGCTGGGATTTATGGAACTTGGTTGACGCTTGGAAATCGACTCTAAAGGATGATTTATGTTGCGTTAAATACATGATATGCGTGGAAAAGAAATTTTTATCTAAACAAATCTTACCATTCCAAAGTCGTAGATTTCTCTTCAAAATATTAACTCTATTAAATGTTAGCTGAGTCACTAGCGTGATTGCGTCTGAGTCCTAACAAAGGAAAGAACATGGCCTCTATAACGATTAAACCCGCAATTTTGCAGGTGTGTGTGTTAAAAAAGGTTTTAGAGTAGCAAATGATTAAAAAACAATTACGTAAATAGGCTTTCAACAAATTTTTCCGTTAGACGTTTATGTCTAAATTCAAAGCTAGATTTAAAAAAATTTACACCAAAAAACTGCAGATGGATTGAGGTCACAGTTTATAAAGAAAAAAACACAATGTCTGTTCGTGTAACAGATTTATAAGCTATGAGATGCTTTAGCCGTGTAGTGGACAAGATGATATCTATCAGATCTTGAACACGGAGATAAAGTTATTGTTGATCCCAATCTCGCTTAAGAAACTGTTTAAGTTCCCAGAATTCCTCTCCAAGAGACCATTTCCGAGATACCCCAAGTCCTTGTCTGAAGACGAGGGCGAAAGTAAGGCCTTTGCTAATTGACCTCACCTTGAAAGCGAGGGTTCGTCATAGCTTGCTGAAAGTGTATGTATTGTCTGTGTTACTTACATTAGGCGAGAATGCTGAGTAAAGTGTCTCCGTGAGAAGGTCTGCTGTTTTCTCACTTGGTCTTTTGGTTAGTGCAGGACAAGGCTCTAGGAGCTTATTTGGGTCGATACTGTGATTTTTTAAGAGTTTGGAATCTTTATTTTGAGAAGAAATGTAGGTTTAAGGAATTATTTCTGGAATTTATGAAATTGATAATAGTGGCAAAGATAAGAATGGTAATCATGGCAGTAAAAAAAATGAAGTAAACATGACTGGCCACTTAACCAGTGTGGCTTTTTAGGGACAATGTGAACAAAGAATAAAAAACTATTGTAATTAACATAGATGTAGTGAGCAAAAAAATAAAGGACTCAATCGCGGAACCGGAACTTTACCGGCCATGCGCTCCAACTACTCAGACACACTGCCTTTAAAAAGGCGGATTCTGGAGTATTCAATGGGAAAAAAAACGAGGAGGGGAGAGGAGGACGAGGAGGGGAGAGGGGGGCGAGGAGGGGTCCAAACGTGGTTCTGGAAGACACAGGTTTTTTTTGTGCACACCGAACCCAAAAAAAACTAAAGAAAAAACCTTTGAAGTTGAGTAAATCTTAAATACAGTACCTCAAGTTAAGTCGTAATATGCCGCGGTCTTGTCATTGCAAGAGACTTGGTTTTGGACAAGCATTGAAAACATTCCTAGGTCTGAAGGAGGAGACCCCCACCCCTCAAAAAAAGATCTCACAACCTATATGGTAATAATAACGCGGTATTTCGCTGTACAAAAAAAAAAGAGGTTTTACAGCAAGATCAGTGAAGGTCACATACCCTTCGTAACCAAGACAACCCAACATGACAGTCACACTGTTTATTCGTTGTCGTTTAGGAGTAATCTGCAATCGCAAATCTTTAACTTAGTCTCCCCATTCTGAGTTTGAGTTAAGCTTTTCTTCGGAACAGATCTTTGAGTTATAAATGGTTATGCCTTCCATTTTACGGGAATTTACTTGTAATTAACTGAAACGTCACTTCCGTCAGGAAGCTTAGTAAAAAAAAATAAATAAGTTAGCATAAAACCAGCAGAGAGCTTTCGGCCTCTTTCGGAGGGTTTTCTTATACTGAAAGTTATTCCATGGACATTGTACACCTCACGTAACCCCCCCTTCCCCCTTAGAATACTTTCTTTTGTGCCATTAAAACAAAGATTAAAAAAAGCCAATCGTATCAAAGGAAAATGTCCCAAGTAGCCAAAAGGAAGACGAAAAAGCAAAACGAAACGCGAGTGACTAAGTCGTAATTGGGTTTGGTTTTGCAAAAAAATGGCTGAGAGGCTGGTGCGAGTTTCTGGACCAATCAAGAGCGGGGTAAACCAAAACCAAGGCAACCTCAGATTAGTTTTTGATACTCAACTGAAAATTGAAAAAAACAGTAATGTTGTACTTACGAATTCCACTTTCCTACTCGCCACTCTTCCGGATATTGGTTGAAAATCCAACCTTCGAATTTTGAAATGATTTAATAATACAAAAAAAAAAGAAATCTTGTCAGATGAACGGGTGATATTCTCATTCTAAAATGTTTTGGACATATTTCTGTCAACTACTTACTTCAACAGTTTTCGTTTTCCACTTAAAAAAACCACAAACACTCGTGCACCATAGAATGGCTTATAGCTCTGTGAAACAAAAAAATGAGATATTCTTAGAAACAATTTCTTTTTCTCCAACTGAAGAGGGTAGGAAACATAAAATATCATGCATTTCGAGAATCGATTCATTCTAAAGAAAGTTAAAAAAAGCTTCCTTTCACTCTCTAATTGGTAAAAACACCCGGAGCTTGTCGTTGGTCGCGTAAGTAGGCTTCGTGTTCATGATATTTTCAAACTTGACCCTCCCGTGGTTATTAGTTTATCTTGAATGGCCATCATAATATTTTTAATTGTTTGATTTAAAAAAATCAGCTTCACGTTTTAAAGTATCTTGGTAAGCGCGGAAGTCGGAATTCAGAAGTCAGAAGTCGGAAGTCAGTCTTTCCTTGGCTTACGCACGCGAGCCTAAAAAAAATGCAAAGGCATGAGCTATTTCTACCTCCTTAAGTTTTAGAGAATGAAAAAAACAAGGCTGAAAAACCAATGATTGCGATCTGCAGGCATGAAAATCCCAAAAAAAGTGTAAGGTTACATTGGTTCACCCTTACTACATTTTTACCCAAAAAAAAAAAATCAAAAAAATTAAGTAAAAAAGAACACGTAACTAACCCCCAAAAAAAAAAAAATGGGCCGCTCCATCTTCCAAGCCGCAGATGTTACTTGGAACTTGATAAAAAAAATTGAAGCACTGCTGTTCAACTAGGGATGACATTTGAGAGTTACGCCAGCTTGATATAACTGAATATTCTAACCAACTGCACAGCAATCAAGTGGATTAAAAAAAATCAAATGTTCCTTTTGCTCTGAAATCTTTTGACACCCAGATAAAAGTACTTCCCTACATATGACTTCACCCAGGGGGTAAATTACATGAACGCTCGGATAAAAAAATGTCTCACAAGCCCTTCCTCCCCTCAGCCCTTCAAAACGAAAGTGGAAAAAAAGTTAAATTCATTTTGTACTAGTTGGCATTTTTTTGTCAGTTTCCAACCATAAGAATGCATACTGGGTTTCGCATTCCCTGAATCTGGGCCACAATTCAAAAAAAAATAATGAATCGTATTATAACCCATCGTGCACTTTTTTTTTTAGGCCCAAAAAAAACGTCGAATTTCACATGTGCCGAACTTAATGCGAGAGTTAAATGCAAAAAAAATGCGACGTTCGAAGCAATTAAATTCGACTGTTTTAAATTAAATGCGACTTTTGCCGTATCTGCAACTGAAACAGTCGAAGATTCGACTTAGGTTCGACTAAAAAAACAAACGTCGCATCTGCCGAACTTAATGCATGAATTACAGGAAATTAAAAAAAATCATTTATTATCCACAACTCGCCAGGAATTCTATGATGCCATACGCAAAAAAACCAAAAGAGCACAAAAAAAATGGTGGGAGACGAAGGAATTTGTAGAAAAAAAATTGAAAAGACAAAATACAGTTGTTTGAGGTGCGGTAATTACTTTTGAAAAAAATGTTCGGTTTTTGAAAACGAAGTGGGCACTCTTGGGTTGAAAGTAGAAAAAAATGTGGCATATTGTGGGTCGTGTTTCAATGAAATGATGGAACGTGAAAAAAAAATGATGAAAAGCCAAGATAAAGAAGCAAAAACAAACAGCAGAACAAGAAAAAAAGCGAAGCTCAATAGACGTCTTCGTCTAGCAAATAAGTAGTGCACCTAAAAAAATTGACAGCGAACAGAGTTAAATTTGACTGAATTAAATTCGACGTTTAAAAAAAATGCCGTATTTAACTATTTTAGTTGACTAAAACAAGAGTTAAGTTCAAAAAAAGTGAAATTCGACGTTTGAACTGGGCCTTAAGTATTGCGCCTGGGAAAAAAAAAAGCGAACAGAGTTAAATGCGACAGAGTTAAATTCGACGTTTGAATCAAAAAAAACTTTTAACCATTTTATTCGACTAAAAGAGGAGTTAAGTTCGGCACAAAAAAAATTCGACGTTTGAACTGGGCCTTAGTCTCTCTCTGTCAACCCTCTCAAAAAAACTCACCCCCCCAAAATCCTCTTTCTTACTTATATGCCTTCCGTATGAAAAAAATGGAGATTTACCCTTTCACTAACCCTTGATCCAAGGATCAATTCCCAAAAAAATCTTTCTTACATTTCTCATAATTTTAGATCTGAAAATTTGGTGTTGAATCAAACAGTGGATATTTTTCTTAATCCTCGTCATCTTTCTGCCTGAAAATGAAAAAAAATCACAGAGACATTTCCTTTTTGGTCATTACTACGACCGAAGGGGTAAAAAAACATTCTCTGGGTTTCTTCTATGAAGATTTAGTATGCAAGCAATAATGTTATCAGGAAAAAAAAACTTACTGAGAGATGTTGGTATGTCTCGACTATCCTAAAAAAATGACAAGGTACACTGAACACCTTTGAGAGAAAATTAATACATTTTCAAAAAAAAGTTTTCTTTATTGTTTATGGAAAGAAATCACTAAGATACGTTGCGTCTAAATAACGAGACAACAAATAGAAAAGTAAGAGGAACAAAATTTAAGTTTTTTTCCCATTCTATCATTTATTCATTAGACTACAAATGGGAAGTACCACGTTGTTATGAACAAGAACATTAGTCTAGATGATAAATTTGGCCAGTTTTCTAAAAGTGTTAGATCTTGTCGAACAACCTTTTTCTATAACCACAATATGCCGATTAAGGCAAAGGTTTTGTAAAATAAAATATAGCGGTCTTAGTTTTAGTATGAGAAAGGTTTTTTAGATCGCAGCAACCGCCGTCTTGTAAGTGAAGTCATTACCCTTAAACCATCGTGCATATTTACCTGCTTGACCGTGGGTCTTGACTTTCGTTTCAACTCTATGACTTCCCATTTAACATGTGACATCCACCAGCCACGTAGAGACAGTGAACCGCTAAAAAAAACATGCGGGCTCAACAAATTTGTCACCTCGCGTTGTCTTTTCTCATACAGCTTGGGCGTCGTCCACTCCTGCTTAAGCATGACATTTTTGGGGGGTAGAAAAAAAACTACAAAATCCCTGCAACAGCAGTAACAAAGGTAAAATGCTGGTTTACAATAATCATCAATATCATCGTCACCATCATCATTATTGCTGATCAAAATGTTCAGAAAAAGGACAGAAGTTCCGGATAAGGTCAGTATATGGGCAAATGTGCAACCACCCCTCCCCTAACTCAACAACAGTCAACTGATGGCAACCTAAGGTTAATGAAAAAAACGGCAGGGGAGGGGTAAGTGCACAGTTGCTCAGAAAATTTTATTGATCCGAAGTTTCCGTCACTAACTGTGATGTGTACTTTGAATAGGAAAGTTGACCCAATTCTTAAGGGGTAGGCTCGATAGACACTAAATTCAACCTTGTATAGCTTAAAAAAAAATTCATTGGTATCAAACAAGTTCTCACTCAATCGATTATAAAAAAAAAAAAAAAAAAAAAAAAAACATCATTAATCATAAATATTCAAAAAATTATTTGAAAAAAATGACAGGATCGCTCTGCGCTGCCTTTGGATGCACGGTAAAATGGCTAAAAAAAAAAGCAAGCAATTGGATTCTAAGATTTTCCAATATTTTGCAAACAGACCTTCCTGTAAAAATCACCATGTCCTCTTGAACCAGAGGATGAAGTAAGTTAAAAAAAAACAAAATAATCATTGTGACCAGCGTCCACCGCCATCTTAGGAGTCCAAAAAAAAGTCCAAAATATCTGCCTGTAAGTAACAGACAGTGAAGTGGCATTCAAAAAAAGAGATGGAAAGATACACCCGGAAGTCATCTGCGGTAGAATAAAAGCAAAAAAATGAGGGTCCAAAAGTTAATAACCACAGGTAGAATTTCTGAGCCAAAATCTGAAATTCGGGTCTGAAGACTTCACAGAGCGCAGTATCATGAGAAATAAAGATTTCCTCTTATCTTTTTGTTATGGCATATCAAATGTACATCATTTATCCATTAACATATAGACTGAATGTCACATCTTCAAAAAATGTTAAGTGTTCACTACATAAAAAAACTCAATATCAGTATATTTCTTTATTCATGCCAGGGCGCACTTTTTTAAAAAAACTAAAAGACCGTTTTTCCAACTACTGCTTTGGCGACAACATAAGCAGATGTGTTTGCGACATCGCGATCTCCCCGTGTCTCGGCCGCCGAGTTACGACAAAAAAAAGTTGTAGATTAAACAAAACCAGGCCACAGAGCAGGACACATTTATCTATATTTTTTGTTGTAATTAATTTCTCGTTACTCGGAAAATATTCTGCTTTTCAAGAGAAGGAGTTGAAAAACAACGTATCTTAAACATCTGGCTGTTTGGCTTAAACGGAAAAAGTCCTCTTCCCAAAATCCGCAAATGTGAAATGGTTTAAATTCGGAAAAAAATTTTAAGTGTCTAACGGTGGCTTTCACGCCCTGCACATTACCTGTAGACAACACGCTCTATTGAGCTACCATTACGGGTTTGCAAACTGTATGATTATTACGAGACACATGTCGACCGTCTTATTCTCCACCAAAGATATGCTTTTACTCACAACTTTTTACTCACTTGAAAATGACCTCGGAGAGGTCGAAACATCGTGCTTTTAAAAAAATAGTTTTTATCTGAAAAAAGATACGCTAGTCATCGAAACTCCGTTAAAAAAAAATGAGAAGGAACATAAATAGCACTCAAACGTGTTGAAGAGTAATCTAAAAAAATTGGCGCTCAGCGATTACATCCACTTACCATTGTTTAATATAGGTTATGGTATAGGTTATCATAGGTTATTTCCAATTCTCTTGAAAAGTTTAGTACAATTATTACTAAAAAACAGGATAATAAGAGGTAAAGTAGAAGGTGTTGTTACCTGAAAAAAATATAAGTTCCGGCTGACCATAGTCAAAGCACATGGACTGGTTTTGAAAAAAAAGTCTCCGTGTTGGAACGGGTGGACGTTTGACGGGCGTGGTCTTACACAGGTTTATTTCTGAAAATGCTTACTAGTTTAGCAGATGCGGTTGTTAACTCATGGGCTTGCACTCTTGGGGAAATTGAAGGAAGCTGAATGTGTTTGTCAGGAGTAAAAAAACACCGAAAAACTTGTGTAAGCCACAGTTCACCAGGAGATAACTTCAAAAAAAACAACTGTCGACAACTTCAACGTTTTCTGGTGGGTTTTCTGCGGTTAGATTTTTTCTCTATGGCACACAAGTTTCCACTTAAGCGGCGATTTGAGCCTTCATAGCCTTGTTGAGCTGGAAATGGTTGGTGTGAAAGTGTTCTTAAGCTATTATAAGAGTCGCCATGGGCTATTAGAAAGCAAATAATGGCGCTTATCTTGCGTCAGCCAGTAACATCGCAGAACAGGAATGAGGTAACGTGATTTAAGGTACGATTCGATATTAGCACGAAGATTGTTAGGGGTCAGTTACCCAGCTACAAGAGGTTAACTAGCAGTAGAAAACTTTATTGAAAGTTTTTGCGCGAATGTAAAAGATCCAATAGCAAAAAAAAGGAACATTCCATTTTTTGTCGCGGCTGTTGGTTAAAATGTGCTTGGTGATGAGGAATAATGTTCAGATTTGAAAGGATTTTGCATCAGTGAAGGGTTGAAAAAAATACCCACATCACTGAAAAATGCAGGTAAACAGGGTCAGTAGAATTTTAAGTGGTCCACAAATCAGAATTACATCAGTTGTCTTCACCTCAAGTTCCAAGGCAACGGTTTTAGAGTTACACTTGCTATTTTGAAGCAGTAAAGAGTAGCAAAAAAAAAAAAACTTTAGCAATATAATTTCCGTGATAGACAGTTTGACTTCTCAGTAAAAAAAGGTTGAAAGTGCTTTTAGAGCCGTAAAGACCTGTCTTACATTCTCCAAAAAAAACTTCAAATTTAACGCCCAGTGCATTTACACGTACTTTCAAAAATCTTTACCTTGCTTGAGTTGGTATCCACCCGCCTGGTGGTCAATAATACGCAGTCATCCTTTCGCCTGTGCGATGTGCGATTTTAAGAAGATCTGCCTTCGACCAGCGCGAATTGTAATCACAAGGAACATAAGAGGGGTTGGCAAACAGTTGAATCCCAGACTCGTAAGACGCGATTAGATTCGTAAGACGAGATTGCCGTTTGAAAATCTGAGATCTACGCTGAACAGTTTTAGCCGCAACCCACTACTAATGTACCTTTACGTAGATTATTAATGTTGATCAGAGGAACTGAAAATATTGCGCTCAGAAGTCCTCTTTCGTGCTCGTTTTTCTACTATATATCAGCTTCTACATCGCAATATGTAGTTGTAAAAAAATTTGGCACATCTTTCCGCTTAAATGAAAAGTGTTACAAAGTTACGGAAAAAAAACAAAGTCCTAAATTTCATACATTAAACTCGTCGGTTACCGTACCAAAAAAAACGTCTCTCCTTCCCTTTCAAGGCCGCGCGGTTTCTCATGTTTCTCTTGCCGTTCAGGAACAAGCAGTCTCAAACAACTAAGAGAAAATGGTACTTTTGGAAAAAAAGTCTCCATCTTGTTTTATTACGTGTGATAGTTACAAAGAAATTTTCAAAAAAATCCGGATCTCATTCAACAAAGTGCTTCGGGGAACTGCTATCCTGCAAAGGTTGGGACTAAAGACCTGTTTAAGTTGTTGATCGTGTGCAGCCCACACTAAAAAAAAAACTGAGTACGACCTTCGTGGGGGTGGGGAACAGTACCACACTGTTAAAAAAACATGCTATCGGAAGACATTAATGCTACTAGTAACCCTCGTTTCCATAAAAAAACACCACTTGCAAAATTATGGACAAAAGAGTGACCCAAGCACTGCAGAAAAAAAATTTTATTTAATCACTTTGTTTAGAGCAAAACGAAGTCGATTCTCCAAAAAAAGTCGCAAGTGAAGCGCAATGAGAGAAACCGCTGTAAATTTTACCTTAAAAAAATGAAAACCAGGAATGAGACTTTCTTAAATCAGGAAGAATTCTTTGTAAAAAAATGCCTTGGAGAAATTGATGAATATATTACCTACAGTTCTTTATTCTTAACGTTTAAATAGCATTTCTTCGAGTTTACTTCGCATTGTATAGACTTCACTAAAAAAATTGTTTTTAAAACAAAACACATAGGGAAAACTTTTTGTAACGATAATGTCTCCTGTACTGGAGAGAACGCGTTTTATAACTTAACACCAAATTGTACACAAAACTTTTAGTATAAAAGATGTTTCCATAACAAAAAGTAATTCGTATAAACCAAAAAAAATTTTTAATTCAATATTTTTTTTACTTTTCTTCTAACTGAAAACTGGTGTCTAAACGGATTGTGTGACTCGCCACATAACTATATATACGTCATATGAGAAAAAAAATCAGAAATCACACAATCATCTACGAAGGATAAGAAAAAGGATGACGAAAAACTCCGACATTTCCCAAAACTCTACCAAATTTTTAGTCAACTTAAGGGGACTATTGTTTGACTGTCACGTTGAATCATTGCGTGACCATCAAGTCACGAACTGTTGTTCAGTGTGTGACCGCCAACGGACACAAGACAACGTTTCATCTCGCTAAGTTCCTTCACATCTGGATTACTCCGACCATAATGGCGAGTTAATAGATTAGTAAAAAAATCGATTGTGGAAAGTGCTTTCTTGATCTGCCTGTCATTGAATAAGAAAAAAAAAAGCTTGTGAAGTTCGTGAGCGTACTCCACGCTTGATGAACCAAACAAAAAAACCACTGCTTCGCAGCTGTGGGAACAGTAATAGCATGCCTTTTTGAAGTCTCCAATCATGGCATAACACCTGTAGAAAAAACCAAAATAAAAAAGAAATGAAAAAAACGAGATATTACATGACAACTCCATTCTGTCTGTAGATATACCACAAAAAAAAAACCCTTACGTTACAAACACTTTGTCGGCAGGTTCTCTTTCACTTCCTTTGTCCAAAGCCTAAACAAAAAACTCTACCCTCGAGAAGAATCTCATTTTTTAAAAAAAATCTAAAGGGATACAATTGTAACTGATAATACTCTATGCTGGTGTAAAAAAAAGTCCCATGCCCCTTAAAAATTTCCCTTGACATGGTAATTTGGTAATAAAAAAAAAGTTGAAATTGTAAATTGGCCACCGCAAAGAGTTAAAAAGCTGACAAAAAAAGCGTTAGCCCTTCGTCAGAGCGAATGGAGCAATTGTGGTTCGTGTGAAAAAAACTATGCAGAAAGTGAAGTTTTACAAATCTGACCTTGCAATAGCATCGTGCGTCTCTGCCAAGTCCTTATTATAAGCGTGAAGCAGAATTTTACGCCGTCTCAAGCATTCATGAAATACATTCAGAGCCTCTTTCACTCCAACTCTTTCTAACAACCGCACTCCCTTCACAAAGAGCAGTTCTGCCTCCCGTGCCAGTCTGCATTCATCAAGCATATTCTTCTCCAAGTTACACTCTCGGTTCTGACACGTTCCCATGTTCCCACTTCCCACAGACGAAAGCTTCATGGCATGTTTACATTGAGGACAGGCAAAGGCCGAGAAGCACAATCTTTTGTTCTCCCTTTCTTCATCACTAAGATCAAAAAAAAAAGTGCAGAATCAGCTTTAAGCTTTCCCTGTGAACTTACTTAACCCTTCACACCCTAATATCAGTATGCATATTCTCCATACTGTTCTCTATACATTTCCTAAAAAAATGACAAGGAGAATTTGTTTAACGATCAACGGTCTTTTTAGTTGACGAAAAAAAGAGAAATTTGATACCAGTCGCTCTTAGGGTTCAGAGTTATAATTTGAAAAAAATTACAACATGAAATCATTTCAGCATGCCTTTCAAGGTTTATAAAATAAAAAAACAAAGTCAACACAGATGTTGCACTGAACAGGCTATAGTGTTCAACAAAAAAAACTGCAAAAACACTGAGTAAGATGATAATAATAATAATAATAATAATAAAAAAAATAAAAATAATAATAAAAATAAAAAAAACAATATTTACAGAGGATAAAAAAAACTGACACTATGTTAATTAGGGTGGTCCTCTATCTACATTCCTAAAAAAAAAAAAGACTTAAAGATTGATCAAAGATTAAAAACTTAAAATTACAGAAAGAAAAAAATATTTACAAACAGTTCCAGCTACATATTTTTTAAACTGTTCTAGGCTAAGAAGTTCCATAGCTCACCTCTTGCACGCAGTACACTGGCAAGTGAAGAAGTACTGTTTGTACAGAAGCTTTTGACGATCTTCATAACCCATGCGACTAACATGAAAAAAAGTACACACACACACACACACACCCAAAAAGATGTTATTAAAGGTTTAAAAAAATCAACAGTCAATAACAGTTAGGAAAAAAAACTTGACAAAAACAACTAAAAAAAACAGAGTCAGTGGGTCCTGGAATATAACTCACCATAACAATGGGAAAAAAAAAAGCCTTTAGAGATGTTATGGGTGGCCCTCACCACAAGATGACCATCAAAAAAACTGGAGTATTAAGAGAGATGTATTCGTGTTAATTTGTAAGTTGTGAAAAAAAAGATTGCTGTATTTAACCAGACAGTTGATACTACAGCAGTACTTGGTAAAAAAATAACCCTTGAATTTTGTACCTATTTCTCTGAGAGCTTTCATAATTTGCAAATTGCAAAAAACAAAGGTAAAATAACCAAGTAGCAATTCCCACCATGAACCTAATATCCTTGTAAATGTTTTTTCTTTTACCAACAATTAAAAAATTCGTTTTGTAACAATGGAAGTTGAACAATTGTCAGAAGCATGAACTGAAAAAGAATCTGAATCTTGGATGAGGATTCAGCCATAACCCTTCAAAATTTCTGGTTGAATGCTCTACCCAGGCGATTTGATAGCAAATTTAACCACTTAATACGCATCACCCTCACCAAAAAAAAAAAGAAAAAAGACCCTTGCATAATAACTTAAACACTCACCTAACTATGACATCAGGATCACAAGCATGGTTCAAGAGGGATGCTGTTGGATAAATAGCAAAAAAAATTCTCTTCTGTTCTCTGCATACTACTTGCTGCCTGGGTTTGTCCTCATTCATCGACACAATAGCAGTGATAGCGTGGACATTGCAAGTCATTTGCTGTAAAAAAAGGAAAAGTAAACAGCCTAGTACATCACCTTCTAAGGAACTTGTGCTAAAAAAAGTTGGAAATAAATTTTGAAGATTCTGAAAAATGTAGTTCTGTTTAAAAAAAAAATGTGGTGGTTCATCGGACTGACAAAGCCTGTTCCTTGTACAATCAAAAAAAATTGTTGGTCTTGAGGGTGACTCCTCTTTCTTTATTAGAACTTCTTCAAGAAACTCTGATAGTAGAGCACAGTTCTGAAACAACAACAGGATTTAAAGTTTTTCATTAGGAATCTCACAAAAAAATATATTTGCGTTCAAGCATTGTATCTATAACATCCGCCTTATGGCTCACAACACACTCCTCAAAAAATGGAGGGAAAAAACAAAAAAAACCTAAAGCAGTTGACCCTCAGCTGAAGTACAGATACAGACAGAAAGAAAAGGACATACCAGTGCATGGGACATCAAGGTCTTTACCGGCTGCGATTCTAAAAAAATCACCAAAGAAAACACCGAACCATAATCGCCTATGATCAGAAAGAGAAAAAAAGTTAGTCAAATATACAGTGTAACTGTGATGCAGACAAGGAGGAATAATCATTGTTGCCAGTTACTCACCAAAGTATTCACCCTCAGGGCCACACCCTGACACTCTGTTGACATTTGTGCCATCAGACTTTTCACTTGATCTTGTTAAAAAATAAAAAAAAGAGGATGACAGAAAATCAAAACAAAGTAAAAAGGCAATAATTATTAAAAAAAATTTCATTAACATTAAGACAAAAGCCATGAAGAGGGTGAAAAAAAAAAAAAAAACTTTAGTATATAATTTGTTCTACTGACCAAGAATGCTCTCAGTTCAAAAAAACAAAATTATTCTGAGGGATAACTGAAAGAGTGTGTCCATCTGTGAAAAAAAGTAGTTATTAGTAATTTGGTTGGTTTTGTTAGCTGGATTTAGATTGTGTCAACAACTATATCAACTGAAAGACATACCATTTTAAGGAGTGGACTGAGCCCACATTCCACTTTGTGGTATTGTGACCAGGCCTTATCACGACATGATTGTGAACAATACTGGACTTCACAGCAGTCATGGCATCTGTGAAGGAACCAAGGAAAGTTCAAAGTGATATTCTTTTGAATCATAATATTCTATCATTTTCCGCATCCATTTTGAAAAAAATTTCAATGTTTTCCACAACCTGAGATAAACAGGCTTGTTCCATATCAAAAAAAAAAATTCAGGTAAGGCTGGCATCTTTCCTTTTGTTGTTTTAAACTCAAAAAAATTCTGTCATCTTCCATGACTTTCCATAACCCACTCTAAAATTAAATGACTTTCCCAGCCTGGAAAATGAAGTGGAATTGTATGAACTTTAAGTTTCCTAAAAAAAAACTTGTAAATGTAAATCCTCTCTTAAAATCCTATCTGAGGTCTAAAAATACCAAAATAATCACTTGGGAAGTAAATTTATTGTGCCAAATCAACCAAAGAAAAAAAAACTTTCTTGTCTTCATAAATATTTCTAAAAATATAGCTACAGTTCTTATTTTACTTACGGAAATGGTGCTATCAATGTTTTCATGCAGCATTCACAATGAGTAAGGGCATTTTCTGGTAAAAGAACTGCAGCATATGGTACTTCAGAGATAAGGGTATCACCAGCACGGATGTCACCAGATGCCTGCACAAATCAAAAAAATGTAAAAAAACATTAAGAACACATAAATCATAAGATATTAAGTATAATAATGGAACAAAAAAAAAAAAAAAATCAAACTGTTAGTTTTAAATTTTTGATGGGCACTCTTAAAAAAATAATCCACATATTCAATTTTAACAGTCAGTAGAAGATATCATTATGAAAAAAAGTGCAGAATAGAAGAACATGGTTTGTTATTTTTATATCATAAGAGAAAAAAAAAATTCTTGAACACATTATTGCAAAAATTAAATTTTAAATAAGTTGGAAAAAAATTTCCATTATTTACAACAAATTTTTATAGTGCTATCCCAACAACCAAAAAAAAGAAATCTTCCCTGGCTGGCAGTGCAACTGATTTCAATTAAACTGGATCCATTGGCTATTTTGCTGTGTTGTCCTCCGGTAACAGTGGGAATGTTCTGTGAAGTATCATCACCTAAAATTAAATTTGGAGGGAAAAAAAGTGTCACACTCAGCAAAGATTGCTTGCTCAAGAAGTCCAAAGGAAAAAATACAACATTAGAGATAGTAAGAGCATCAATATTTACCATGATTCAAGTGCTGAGAGGATGATAGCTTTCTTTCACAAAATTTCTGAAGATTAACAATTTTCCCACTAAGAGCTTGGGGATACTGCAGCGATACTACCTCTTGAATATCATTAAGACAAGCCTGGAAAATAAAAACGCAAAAAAAATTAATGAAATACCTTCCAGATAAAGTCACTATAGAATTTCTTGAAGTCTCAGTCAAGTAAAACATTGTGGAGCATATGCACGACAGAAAGGAAAGAAAAAAAAAATTTTGAGGAACATATGAACAATGCAAAGAGAGATAGAAGTCAGATCAAAAAAATGTAGCTGCTCCTTTGAATGTATGTGCCATACCTTGTATTCCTGTGCCTGGTACAGGACCTCAGCTCTTTTAGTATAGAGAGCAGCAAGGCTGGGCTGCCCATCAGACCTGTTTTTGTCTTCAGAATTGTCTGACAATGCCAAATCATGTAAAAAAAAATCTTGGTTAGAAGGTGCTGTTTGGTTATCAGACCTGGACAAAAGGAAAAAAAAGATGGCCTTCAAAGAGGAAGAAGAAGCAACTGTTAGTGGGAGTTTTAAAAAAAAAGTGTATCTCTGGTAGACCAAAAGTAACTCCTCAAACAAGCTAAGTGAGCACCATGCTAGAAGTTGTAATGTGTGAAGCTCATATAAAAGTGGAAAAAAAAAAAAAAAAATGTCAGAAAAGATTTTTGTTTTACTGAGAAAACTAATGATGTAAAAACCAAAACATAAACTTCCAAACAAAAGAACAACAAAAGCAACAACACCAAAAAAAAAGTCCTAGTTAGGAAAGGAAGGGCCACAAAACACTAACATCGTTTAAAAAAAATAATATTAAACAATTGCATTGAGAGTTATTACCAATGATAAGCAAAAAAAAACTTTCTTGAAATCTCTTCTTCTAAGATGTTCTTCTCCTACACGCACATATTCCTGGCCATTCCCTGCAGACTTGGCTTTCTGCTGGCTCCTGGTATTCAAAAAAAATTGTATTTGACTTATGATTTCCTGGGCTACTGTGTTACTCCTGGAAAAAAAAAAGAAAGGGAATTATAATCTGCTGTTACTAAAAGACTGCCCAATGGCTGTACATTTACAAGGATCCTACAAAAGATTGGTTTCATTGGAACATGGGCTCTTAAGACCACACAAGCAAGTGATCATATGAAGAACATAGGCATAACAACAAAGGAAAAAAAATCACATTTGTTCTTCATATGCGAACTTGTTGTGTTGCTGTTATTTAAAAAAACAATGAGCCTGATATCAGCACATATTGAACTGATGCAAAAATGTTAAAAAAAACTTCAGACTGACTGAAATCTCAATAACGTCCACATTATTGTATGTTGGAGGTGCACAATAGATGTGCAAAGGTATCACAAACAACATATGTAGCTGAACTTCTGAGATCTCAAAGAAATTGTTTCTCTTTAGAAGCATAGAGGCTGTACCAATTGCAGTTTACACAGAGAACTAAAAGGATGGAAAAGGGAGGTGTAGGATAATTAACAATTATTCCGCGAACGCGCATTGGACACGAGATGATAGATGCGCCGAGTTGGCTATAATAATCTCATGTCCAACAATTGTGAGTGGAATAACTGTTTTATTAAAAAAAAAATGCCTCCAAGATAGTAGACAAATCTTCTTGACTTTATTTTGTAAGAAAAAAACATATGTTACAATGCACAGATATTAGATTATGGTATATTGGCTCATAAAAAAAAATGGCTGAGCCAATAAAAAGTATTGAATTGCATTATCCAATGATCAAAAAAATAATAATAAAGATAGTATGTGGATCAAGACTGGTAACTAAAAAAAAAAAAAAATGGTTGCTTTTTTTTTAATCAAAAATTTCTTTTCACCTTTGTTAACCCTTTAGATCCCAAAAGTGACAGTATCCAATTGATCCTCACAGTGCTCGTGATACTGCTTAATCACTCATTAAGGTCACAAGAATAAAAGCTACACAAATTCTCCCATTCTGTACCAAAGGAAGTGTGTAGAGAACTGTATGCATGGAGAATATGAATTCTGATATTAGGGTATAATGGGTCAAGGTTTGTAACCTGTCTTCCCAGATAGAAATTTTCTTTGGCAAACAACATCACAAAATAAGTTAATTCATATTGCGTGCAATCTTTTCTCTTCTTCTTTTACATATGTTATCACATTCATGTTTTTGTGTCCCCAAAAAAAACTTGTGCTTATGCACCCGAACTAATGAAATCAGTCATCCTCAAGGGAAAAAAATTGTTTTTAAAACAATCTTGGGATTGACTTTGAACTTAACAACCACCACACTTTTTTTTTTCCCCAAATTCCATATATGTCTAAGGCATGAATTTTTCAAATTCATGCCATTTAAGTTGACAAGATTGTTGCCATCAAGCAACTCTTGTGACCAGATACAAATGATCTGTGACTGCACACATGCAGGCACGTGCAGGAACAAATGATATGCAAAATGACCTGATTTGATCCTTATGCAACAATGAAATACAAGGATTAAGGTTAAAAAAAGTAAATTTCAGAGAGGTTTAAAAGGTAACTAAATCACCAATAGTTTCCTTTCAAATCAACATCAAGAAAAATACACAATAAAAGAAATGGAATTAAGATGTCAATCTGAAAAGCTCCTGTCAATAACACAAACACTTCATAAGTAATGACTTCATCTAAATTCAAGAAAAACACACCCCACAAAAGAAATAAATTTGATAGCTGGAGGATTAAATGCCATGACAAATGCCAGGAGAACCACTTATACAGCAAGAAAAAAATCTATTCCAAGTTTGATTGACATTACTGAAACGTCCTTTTTTTTTTAAAAAAATTTTCAGCTGAAAGCTAGTTTTGTCCATGTTGCAGCCTGCAATAACAAAAAAAGACACTGAAAAAAAACACTGAATAGATTACCATAAAAAAATTAATTTCACACCTTTAATCTCTCAGTACAGAACATTTTTAATTCCCAGGAGAACCAAAAAAAAAAAAGAAAAATGTAAACAGAGGTACTTTTCCATTGGTTTCCCCAATGCAAGGGACATGGAAAAGTTGGATAAAAATCCTTTTGAAATCAGCAGCATGGCAAATGAGATGAGAGAATTAAGAACATGGAAGAGCTTGAATCTTGGCATACTGAATAAAAAAAAAACACTTTTCTTAATTGAAAACATGTTATGTTTCAGAACCATGAAGTTGTCTTTCTAAAATGAGTATTTTTACCTTTTCTTCAGCAAGGGTCATTCTCGCAATCAAACTGAATGGTGCATACACAAATTAAACAAAAGCATTTCAAAAATGAAAATTTGGTCGAATTTTAGCATCAAAGCAAATGTTCCAGATCGGTTTGTATTAAAAAAATTAAAAAAAATTTAACGTCATTCAAAATTGTGTGTCATGTCGTGTAAAGTAAATTGTACAATATTTCGCAAGTCTCTCAGATCTCCGCACACGACGAAGAGGTTTGTAAATGGACTTGATCCAATCGAAGATAAGAAGTTACTTAAAATTCTAAAAAAATACTTTCTACCTATACTGGAATGTTTTCGGGTACATCTGAATAAAAAAAAAAATGACACGTTTGCCGAGGCGATGTCAAAGGTAATCGTGAGATCGGTGCAACATGCAATACGGCACGTGCGACTAAGAAATCGATGAGAGAAACTTCAAAAAAAAAAACTCCTCGAGAAAAGTGGGGTCTAAATGTAAACAGGGAATCGATTAAATGTGCTGAACGCGAATGTAAAATTCGGACCATAATTATTATGTATTTCAGTGAAAAAAAATCCAAGTAAGGGTGCGAACTATCGCAGTTCTATGTAAACAGAAAAAAAAAAATTAAAAGCGAACAGTGTTCATGTATATTTTATTATGCTGCAACCTTGTACAAAAATTTTTTTCTGTATATGACAAAACAGGATCGGGCGAGAAATGTACAAAAAAAAAGCCAAAAACGACAATTTAAAAGAGCTTGATTGAAAAATTTAAGTAAAAAAACGAAGAAAATGTTGAAAAAGCAAATAAACAAGGCTCTACCCAGATGAAAAAAAAGAACTTCCACTGCTAGCTGTGGTTCTCTATTGTGAAGAAGAAAGCCGTTCCTTGAAATAAACCAAAATAAAATATGAATGCTGCAGGTTGCTTGGAAATTAAAAATAGATATATGTATTTATAAAATCGAAAGATCTTGATAACATATCGATAAAATTCCTTTCTTGTCGACCAGAAATTACCATCAGTACTGGCATCTTGCAATTTCGCTTGTTTGTCTTTATTCAAATCTTAGCTTGTGTGAGCTCGATCTACGGTCTAAAAACATGGTCCTATCACTTTTAAATACAACCCCAGCCTTACAACTTAAGTGCTTGATGAATAAACATCGAATTAAAGCGAAACTAGGCACACAAAAAACCTTACCGCAAAATATACTTGCAAAACTTATAGCGCTCTCCGTCCGTCTTCAGATTACCAAACTCTTTCATGTATGGTCCTCGAAGCTGTTCCACCACAAAATTCTCCCACTCATCTTTCAAATGGAGTGCCATGGAGGATTTAACGGTTAGTAGTCCTTTGCTGTGTCCCTAGCAATGAGAAGAGGAAGGAGCGACAATACTTTCAGCCAACATGAAGCGAATGGTGGCATTGCTGATGCAATTACTGCGAGTAATTTTACTTGCAAAACCGCTTGTCAAAGCACTTTAGTTAACACATTCTGATTGGCCAGTTCACATAGGGAGATTATTATTGACCAATGAAAGTGTATGTTATTTTGGACCCTTTTCTGACCCAATCTCTCTGGGCAGCAATAATCACGCCACATGCGACACAGTTCTAATTTAAATTTTGACAAATTGTTTCCTTTCAAGGAATTTGATCAAACTCCTGTTAGGATGTGCCTCTTATGGGCAGTAACATCTGCTCATTTTAAAGAAATAGATAAACAAACTTCTTCACGGCTGCCAGATGTATTTAGGAACATAAATTCGGGAAAGAGTCTTAACAAACTCGGCATACGCTTTTACCGCGCGTGTTCATCGCGCGTGTTTGGTACGCCCCTGACACACCCCCAGTTTAGCCCACTAAACTGACCAATGGCGAGCAAGAAAAAAATGAAGCCAGTTTAATGCCCAAGAAACTACGTCAAAAACTGGTTATCTTCAGTGGCTACAACGCGAGAGTTTTATAAATAAACATGTGAAAATAGTTCAACCCTATGAGATTTTAAAAGCCTTAACAACACACAGGCTCTAACTCTTCAATTTAAAAAAAAAAGTTCAAGAAACAAATACTAAATAATAAATAGTTTTCCACGAACGAAGGGATAGGTCTAAACATCCATCAACTCCGTCGGGCGAAATGTGATAACAAACAAAGTGGGGAGACTTGAGGTGTTTTAGCTCCATATTTTTTAGCTTAAAGCCCTGTTAAAATGAAAAATGTTTTGTATACACCATAAGGGTAACCATCATAGGTGAAAAAAACAACATCTAACAAGTTTTCTCTGCATCGATCTTGTACTGGTTTGATTAGCATATTCTTAGCACTAGAATATACTCAGGAAAGACCACACAAACGGAATAAAATTGAAAGAAGAATAAAAACAAATCTATTGACTCAAAACTCACACTGTGAAAAATCATTCTTATCAGGAAATTCGAAGAAACTTCCCGCGGGGATTTGAAAGATCATCAAGATTTCTGTGCCGATGTGTATTAACACAAGCCAACTTGAAATATATTTATCCTTGAGATCGTTCGACTGCTAGGAGATCAGAAGTGGAGTCGTATTGGAAGCCACCTTATCAAAGATGAATTAGATTGATGACTGGATCTTTTGAGGAAAAACAAAATTTTTAGGTGCCATAGCAGGTTTGCCATCACTATAGAGCTCAATTGCGATGCGACCTTTTCGTCGTTAGTGTAAAACGTACACAATGAAAATTTCGGACATTTTTATCATGGTCACTAGTTAGCACTATTGATCTTCAATGTCCATGTTCCTTTGCGCAAAATCCGATGAAGAACGTTTTCGAGTTAAGTCAGAAAGTTGCCCAGCTGAAAAAAAATTTTGATAATAAATATATCAGTTCCTGTAGGCAAGGGTACAATCAAAAAAAAGCACATAAAAGCTTCCGTCAATTTCATAGTTTGCATTAATTAATAGTGCATTTGACTTACTTTTCGTGAAACTAAAAAATTCGCCTCCCGAAGAGTAGCTGATAAATCTTGTTTGCTAAGATTTTCGAGTAACATCCAACGTTGCTGCGTGTTCACTGCGAAAACATTTTCCGTGCAATACTATATAAGCCCTGTCAACTGGCATCACGTCCCATTGGTCATCTGGTCATTCTGACGTCAAAGCTAACTCAAAAAGCAAAAAAAATTCAAAACTTTAATCACCATAATTTTCACTTCTTTCAATCAGCTCTTTGTCATTAGTCGGATAATTAAGAATTTTTTTCTTTACTTGACAAAGGTGGCGAAAAAAAAACGTGTATATATATTTTTCTTTTCTCGCCATGTTTATTCTTTCTTAAAAAAATCAATCACTAAAGAAACATTCTGGTTAATCCTGATGTCAAATCAAGAAAAAAACGGATAGAAATGTCACAGAAATACGAGCGCAAAAGGAAATACCTCTAAAAAAAAGCTTTTCCAAAAGTATTGAACCATTCGTTAGGTTCATGGACTGATTTTGTAACGCTAAGAATGAAAAAAGAGAGGCCACGCGAAAGAAGCTCGAATTGAAAAAAATTAAATTATTATTATTAATTTTCTTTCGGTTACCAATGAATTTTATCGATTTTCCAGATTAATCCAAAAGGATCTGACATAACCTGTTACCTGTAAAACTGGGTAATCCCCTAAAGAAAATTGAAAAACAGACTTTCATTTAATTTATTCAGGAATATTAGAGAGGCCCTGGGAATGAAGTTGAATTCATAACTTCTTATTTTATGTTCGGCTTTCTCAGTTTTAAAACCAGAACAAAGATCATTTGTAATTCTTTTATGCTGAAGAACAAAACGATTTGTCAAATAATTTCGTAGATTGGGGGAATATCACTAAATAATCTTTAAGTCAGCCATAATCTATACAAATTCTGAAAATTTGTCGAAAAAAAACTTCATATAGCAGTTCTTGCAAGCCTAGATCATTGTAACGTCTAAAAAAAAAAGGAAATCAGTAAAATGAAACGGATAGGATGAATTCAATGTTCCGTGAAAAAAAACACTTCCTGCCGAGTATTATAAATTAAAAGACCTCCGCAAAGATTCTTTTAAATTAAATTTCGTTTCGACCCATATCTTATTTCATTTATATCATCTTTTAACGACGAATTAAAGTACAGAAAGGGCAAAATAAGACCAGAAACTTCCATTTTCCATCTTTTTGGACTTTCAGATCTTTTGGATGAAAAAATTGGCCGTTAGGTTTAAACGCAGATCAATAAATCAATCAAAACACTTTCGTTGATCACCTAGAATTAAAAAAATCGACTGGTCCATTTCATTTGGGGGCCGACCATTTAACTCTTGAGGAAAAAAAGTGGGTGATTTTGAAAAACATTTTCCTGTAAGCGCTTGTTGGAAGAAAAAAAATGCATACAGCCCAAATGTAACAGAAAAAATGTAACAAAAAAAACGGAAAAAAATATCCTGCCCAGCAGATTGCTAGAAAAAAAATTTCTTGATGACCAGAAATCACCCACTCCCCCAAAAGTTAAATGGTCGGCCCCTTACATGGTACGAGCCGATGTATGGCCTGATACAAGCACATTGTACCAAGTCCACTATCCAAACAACAACTTGTCATCATTAATTCTGTCTCGTTCCCAAGCCCTCTCTTCTTTCCGCGTGCAAGCGCGAAGAGAGGAAAAATTCACCAAAAAATCCTAGAAGTTCAACTATCTTTGGTAACCAGCATGTGGCATGGAGAGGAGGTGTCAAACTTCCAGGAACAACAAAGGATTCACGTGAGAATACTTTACTACGAATCCTCTTCGCTCAGAAAACTTTAAAAAAATTTTTCATTTTCAGTACTTCATTTCATGTGATGCAAATCTTTGAACTAGATTTTCCAAAGACTTGATAATAGCCGCTGCTGGGGACAAGAGCCCGCGCTGAAGTATCATTTTCGGCCAGATGGAGTAATCATTATCCGCGAACTCGCGTGTGAAAAAAATGCTCTAATGTCACCAAAAAAAATATTGAATCGTCATCATTACAAAAAAAAAAATGTAATTCAATTATGAATTAGAAAACAAAACAAAACAAAACAAAAAAAAAAAAAAACATTTCGGGATGAAACCCATATCACTTCGTCGCGTTGTGTTGAAAAAAAGACTCTGTCCAATGGCTTTTGTAAAACCATACGTACAAATTAGTCACACATTCTAATAATTGTGCAATAAAACTGCAATATGTAAATCCATAGAATTATTTGATCAAAAACTTACTCGTCCGAGAATGCGGTGAACAGTGAAGTTTCTTCAGAGAGGAATGTTAAATGGCTTTGCAACGATCTCTGTTTGGTCAAAAACGCGAAGTAAAGGCCTGACACGGATACATACTTGGTTATATACTTCCTTCGATTGACAAAAAAAAAAGTCTCACCAGGCTAGATACTGCTATGTCATTTAAAATCCTTATAGTCCCGGTTTGCGCGGGATCTCCTTGACGTCACAGCTGTGCGCATTGCGTGGGAGGAATAGGAAATGACATCTTTGATTACAAAGAAACCGCGAACTAGTTCTTAACGACATTTTCTGCAATTTTGATAGAGTTTCTAGTTTGAAAATTAAAAAACCAGCCTGAAAAGTTTAGACTTTGGTTTGAAGTTGGACATTCTACCTACTGACAGGGGCTTAGGTGTAAGTACTCAATTAAAAGGTCACGTTGTTTATTTCAGTGAATTCCGATTGCTCAGTCTTTCGAAATGGCGTGAACGGATATTCACTCCATTTACTCTAACCAAACGTGCCACGGGAAAAAGAACGAGAGTTAAAGAGCAATTTTCCTCGATTACTCAACATATTCAAATTTCAGCTGAATTTTTCTTTAACTGTTTGAAAGCTTTAAAAAAAGTCACAAAGGTTATCTCAGTAGCGAAGATGTTTCCCTTTAAGATTTAAAAAAATACCTTATTATCACTTATTTTCGCGAGACTTAATTCTCGCGAGTTAAAAAAAATCGCGAAATTAAAGTCCCGCGACAAAAAGGTGCCGCGAAAATTAAAAAAAAAAAATTTAGAGACCTTATAAAATCCTCTATTTAAGCTTTCCTTCTGCTAGGAGTTTACATACGAGTGGGACAGCTCAAATTTCAGTTCAACGCATGCCCTTATTCGATTCCTCATCATTGGACTCATCTTGCCATTGTTGAACATTTCAGCCAGTTGTTTGTCGCGTTTGAGGTTTCTATTCCGTTATGGTTAAATAAAATACAGTAATGGAAGTTGAAAAAACGAGCACCAGTTACTTGATTCACGAAATTTTATTACCTTGAAAAACGATGATTCGTGAAAATCGCGAATTTTAAGTCCCGCGAATTATTCTTATTCCAAATACGCGAAATTAAAGTCGCGCGAAAATAAGTGATAATAAGGTAGCATATTGCAGTCAAGGAGCTACACCCGAATTAGACTCCCAAGGGAGACACTTCTCTTGAGAATAGTCACTGCATCCATTTAACCCTCCCCAACTATTAAATCCCCTCTGAAATTGACTGAGAAAATAAAAGCTTTCGTTTTTCGACTCTACGAGCCCTTTGTAGAATGCTGGTGTAAGAATCAAATCTTCGTCATAAGCGGCAGTATACACCTGCTAATCAAACCTAATCGGCCTTGATTTAGAAGAAAGGGGGTATTTTTTTCAAAAAAAACTGGGGTACTGCGTCGGTGAGGAAGTATAGCGAGGTAATTTTGGTAAAAAAAACTGAGTTGATAATGTAGATATTGGCCAACGTAAAGAGCTTCTGCAAAAAAAAATAGTGACCAATTTACATTATTACTCGGTTGATAAAACCAAAATTAAAAAAAAGATTTAGAAGACACTGACGCAGATACATTGGGACTCCTGTAAAAAAAAAAAAACCCCCCTAGGCGACCCTTTAACTGGGGGGAGGCTCCTCGGACAGAAGAACATTCAAGCTACATTTGATGCTCAAAAAACTCACATTTCAATTTTTTTTTCACAAATTTGATGTCATTTACTTCGGATACTAGTACTGCAATCTCAGCTAACTCCTCCAACCCTAAATAAGTTTGGCAAAACGTAGCCCCGCCCTATCAACAATTTTCGATGGGAAACGGTGAAAACGTAGTTGCAATCGGTTAGCTTAAACATGTTACTGTTACAGGTCACATAATAGAATCATACCTCGTCTAAACTCGTTGGTTAAGATGATTCATCCGCTACCGCTCAGTACGAGAGGATAGAGAAGCACTCTAAGGCTATGGTTGACTTCTTTTGACAGAATTAATGTTCTTTAGCTCGCTTATACTATAACCGCGGATATTGAGAACAAAGTAAAAAAAAAGAATTGTAAGTACATTCAGTGTACATTGGAGCTCATAGTACACACGCGTTTTACACGAATTCTTATGAGAGTCATGCAAAAAAAAACAACGTACGTTAGACATCGTTCCATTATTTTCTCTCGATATTGTGCAACATGATTATCATGAGACCACGATATTGCCCCTTTCCTTGCTCAGCTCCGCCAAATTCACCTCATTTACCAACATCGAGAAAAACAACTTGTATTTTCACGGCAAAAAAAGGTGTTTCGTAACAAGGGGGCCTTTTAGGATCAAACGAGGTTGTTGAAAAAAATCGTTACTTTTCTATTCAAGAGGGGTGAGTGAAATGTACCCCTGTCAAAAAA